ACCACCTGCTAACCTTGCTGGCCCACAGACAGTGCTCATTCATCTCAGAGCCCTGCTAGAAACTGGCCAGCTCCCTCTGCCCTGTAGCATCGCTCAGTGGTCAAGGAGCCTGGTCCTTGCAGGCCCCTCAGGCTCTTGGACAGAGCCCAACCAGCCATTTACCCAGGCTGGGCTGGGCTGGGCTGGAGTAGGGGCCAGTGGCCAGTGGCCAGGCCTGTGGTTTGGCTAATTATTGCCTGTTTCCCTATTAAGCAGATATGGAGATGAATGTGTTCGGGGAAGCAATAATAAGACTGAAATTTGGAGAGAACCCTCCTTCCTCGTGTATCTTGGAAACAGCTTTCTGAGCTGGGGCTCACCCAGCAGCTGCTGCCTGCCCGCCCCCATTTTTACCACCCACACCCTGCAAAGCAACTTTTCCCATGACTCACACATGGCAGCTTGTGCACTTCTTTTATTATTAAATATATAAGCAGCTTCCTATTTTTTTAAATATATATTTAAATGACTTTATATAAAATAATTCACCACTTCCAAGTATAAAAACGAAATCTCACAGTGCGTGAGCCAATGTTCCCTCTCGGCTTTCTCAGAAAAAAGAAGGGGTTCCTGTGCAGGCAGCCAGGGGAGACACCCAAAGGCAGCTCTGGGGCCCGCCCCACTCGTATGTCACCAAGCACCCACAAAGAGCTTCTGCAATGGGTTGGACTTGCTTTTCTGACTTTTAAAATACCGTATGTTTAAGGAGGGGTAATGCTTTTTTCTGTTTTTTTTTTTTCCTTCCAAGCTTCCGGTTTTAAATACGTATTTTCTAGTATCAGATAACAGAGTTTGTGACTAGACAAATGAGTCCTCAGTCAAAGTTCTCCACTGCCCTTCCCTCAGCTGTCTGCATCACCCTGGGCAGGTGGGAGCCAGCGAGCCCTCACTTTCTGGGGCAGTAAGGGAAGACCCCGAGCCCTGGCACAGTGGCCCAGGCAGGGCAGGGTCTTCAGTGGGGGGCCCAGGGCAGCAGCCATAGAGGGACACAGCAGCACAAAGGGGCCAAGGGCAATCGACAGCCCTGTCACCATTGAGCCACGGCCATAGGCTGGGCCCAGGAAGCTGAGGCCCTCAGAGGCAGAGTTGAAAATAGGTGCCCTGATCCCTCCTGGCCCCTCTCCCATCCTGGCTTGCCTGGTCAGAGAGGTGGTGGTAGTGGGGGCTGGAGTGAGAGTTGGAGGGTATCAACTGCCTACTGGGGTCAGGATAAAAGAAGCATGGGAAGAGAAGGGGAGCTGGGTGCCAGTGCAGGTGGCAGCCCAGCCCCAGGCTCCTGGCAGAGACAACCTGCTCAGCTCCAGGTGCCTGCCAGCAGCAGCCTTAAACTGTGGTTGGGACAGGAGCCTGGTAGGGGGGAAGGAGATTGGGCTGGGGGTCAGGGAGCCAGGAGCCATAATGTCAAAGACCTATTTTCTGTCAGAGCTCCATCCTGCACACTTTTTCTGTCTCTGCCCTTCCCTCCTTACCTCCTTCCCACTACTCACTTCCCTCTTAGGAATGTCAAAGTGCAAGATGCAGAAACCTGGGCGAACAACGCAGCCTAAAGACCAGCTCTGGCTAGCAGCCCGGGCAGTTCTCCCACCCCACTCCTCCCTGGGGCGTCAAAGGCCGGGTCAGGAGAAGATTAGGGCTTAAGGGCTCCCTCCGTCGACAGGCAAGGCCAGCTCGGTGCTCAGTGCAAGAAGCTGGGAAAGGCTGGACAGGGGGAGGACGGACAGCCGTTCACCCCGGGACAGCCAGGGCAGGCTGTACAGCAGGCAGGTTCAGTGTTCACAGTGCAATGGTTTCCTTCATGAGGGGCAGCCTCTGTGTGGCTTCCTAGGGACGCTCTGGCAGGGGCTGGAAGGAAGCAGGGGCAGAGGCCAGAGCCTGGCCCTTCCGTAGGCGTCAGGAGCAGGCTAGGCAGGTCCTGAGGGTAGGGCTGGCCTCCCTTCTCTACCCAGCAACCAGAGAGGGCACGTAGGCGAGCAGAGGATGTAGAACCCTCTGGGCTGTTGATGCAGACCAGCAGGCCCAGAGGCCTCCTCTTCCTGTCATTTGAGGTGCACTCATTTTCGGGAAATCAGCTGACGCCATCCCAGCCTGCCAATCTCATGCTCCTCTCCTTGGAGGCAAGTCCTTGCTTGCTGATGCTGGGATCTCTTGGCACCAGGCGGGTCTCCGGGCACAAGGGCTCTTCCATTCCTTAGCCCCTGCCCTGCTCTCCCTCATTGCACAGGCCGCTGGGTCTCTGGCCCAGGTGCTGGCTTGGAGGGGAGTGTGGAGAGGACACAGCCCCTGGGGGCTGAGGGTCCTGAGCCAGGCTTGCCAGCCTTCTTCAAGCAGATAGGAGCCTCCAGGGCCCACAATAAATACTGGTATCTCAGGGAGCACCCGCTGGCCCTCTCTCAGTTAGTCAAGGGACAAAGGGTTGAGGGCAGAGGAACCCCAGCCTGGCTGCTCTGGTCCAGTCCTGGCAGGCAGGGGTGCTCGTAGCGGGCAGGCCACCATCCCAGGAGAATGGCTGGGGAGGGGTGGTGGTGGATGCCCCCATAACTTCTCCTCCCGTGGAGAAACTGTCCTGTGCACCCAGCTGCAGGGAGAGAAAGAAAGGCTGGTCAGCCGAGTGGGAGTGGAGGGGTGTCGCTGAGGACATGAGTGGGGGAGGCACAGCGTTCCTGTGGGCTGTTGGTGCTGAAGGAAGGGCTTCCTCCCATTCCTTCCCTCGCATTTCCAGCCACCCCAGACCACAGAGGGGCCAGGCGGGCTTCCCTGGCAACAGCCCAAGCCTCTGGTCAGACTGGCCTCACCTCCTACCTCCTCCTGGGGAACCAGGGACCACAGCGGGAGGCAATGGGGTCTGGTGGAGGTTTGAGCAGGGCTGGGGGGAAGAGTCATTGCTCAGGCAGAGGGGCCTGACAGGGAGGAAAGGTGACACTTGAGTGTCCTTAGACCCCTCCTGAGGCAAGGCCATCTCACTTGGTACAGTGAATCTAAGGGTGACTCCTGCTAACTCTAGCAAATAAGAGGAATTTTTCATTTCCACCTCCACACCATTCATCAGAGAGAGTTATCACAGATGATATTTGGGACAGCAAGGCAGAAGTAACTGATGAGGAAGAATTTGGGCTAGAGTGGAAATGTCTAGAGGCAGTGCTGGGACAAGGAAACTCCCACCATGCCATTAGGCATGCTAACCCTTGAGCAACCCAGCCTCCTCCTCGATGGGCCAAGGAACTTGCCTCCCTCATCATCCATAGGAGTCAGGGCCCTGCCCTCTCCCTACCACGCCCCCATCCTTGTCCCTTTGCCCAGCATCCTCAGAATGCTTTGTTCCCAGCACAGAAATCCCCTGGACCCCATCCAACAGTTTGACTTTGACCCTGTGTGGAGCCTCCCAACCTGACCATCCATAGGCCCTACTGGCAAAGCCCAGGATGGGTATGGAGAGAAGACGGGACCACAGCCTCTGGCTCCCAGCCCATTCCCATGCTCTGGAGGGGAACCATAAACTGGACATGAGCCATGCTGGGTACAGCCAGGCCACAGGCCCTGCTGGGGCCCAGGAGGGAAGAAGAACCAACTGGGCAAGCTCCAGTTTGCTGCCCCCCTCTCCTATTCCCTGAGGTTGGCATGCTTGTGTCTGAGTTTTCTTTCTGTGGCTCTGGGTCCCTCTCTCACTCTCTCCTCTGGGTTTCTCTTTCTCGTCTCTCCCATGAGAGTAGCAGCCAGTCTAGGGGCTGGCACTGAATCTTCCTTGGGCTCCTAGTGCCTGGCCAGGGGATGGCCTGAGGACTGGACCTACTGATCTAGGTGGGGTCTGGATGTGGCCGCTGCCCAGGCTCCTCTCTAACTGAAATCTTAACAGGAGGAAGAGGAAAGCTTGTGACAGGTCTGAGACCAGGCAGGCAGGGGAAGGTGAGTGGGAATGTAGAGGGATGGGACAGAGGGCTAAGACCAAGGGGGTGGGAGGCCAGCAGCCAGTGGGGAGAGTGTTGTCCCCAGGAACCTCTGTCCACCCTCTGCTCACCAGTCCTGAGGAGCCTGTGCCATCTCACAGCCCAGCCAGGGGCCCAGCTGACCCACTCACACATCTTAGCCCACCCTTCCAACAAGGTAGTTTCCAGGATTCCAGACATGTGATTTCTTGTTCTTTTCTAAATAGACTCCACTGGCGTGGAGCATTTGCCAGATCCCCTGTCTCTCCAGAAATGGCCCAGACCTGTCACTGTACCCATAGGAAGGCCCTAAGGTGCTTGCTTGCATTTGGCATGGGGTGTGATTGGCAACTTCAATGCGTTGCCCCATCGACCCAGCCAGTCAGCAAATCAGTCAGTCAGCCAGCTATTTAGTTAGCCAATCAACCAGCTAATCAGTTAGCCCATCAACTTGCCAGTCAATAAGCTAGTCAGGCAATCACCAGCTAGCCAACTGGTTAGTCAGTGACCCAGCCAGCTGATAAGTCATTCAGAGTCAATTAGTTAGCTGGTTAGTTGGTCAGTCAGAAGGCTGGTCAGCTAGAGGCAGCTGGCCAGGACCAGTCAATCAGCCGAGTCAACATTTACTGAGCTGTTGCCAAGTGTGGAGAAGCCCTCTCTGTCCTAGAACGTGGGACAGAGGAAACACACAAAAAGTGGAAGACACATTCGCTGCTCTCAAGGAGGTTACAACCTTCTTAGGGGTGCAGAATGTACAAAGACACATAAAATAAAATTTAAAAACTTACAAAAGCAACATCCAAATAAGTGCAAATTGATACAGTATTAACCAAATACAAAAGAACAGGAAGGGTGGAAATTAAAAGCGCGACCAGAGGGAGAGGGGGCACTCAGGGAAACTTCTGATGGGGCTGCCTGTGGGCCTAGGGAAAGAAGGGAGGAGGGCTGGGGGCAGGTGGGTTAGGGGGAACGGGGGAGGAAGAATAAGGGCTGCATCTTTATCAACACGTGGGCAAGAATAGAAGGCACTCCTCAATGTGCGGGAGATGCAGTTGGGATTGGGATTTAAAACAATTTCATTGGGCCTGGGTGATGGGCAGAAACCAACAAGGTGGCTTTAACAAGGATGAATATAAACTTCTGCACTTTGGTTAAAAAAAAAAAAAAAAAATTGTCCAGGTACAGGATAGGGAAGGTCTGGCTTGACAGAGGTTTATGGGAAATGGGACTAGGGGTTTTAATAGACTACAAGTTCAACATATGACAACAGTATGATGCAGTCATGAACGAACTAATGCAATTTTAATCTGAATAAATAGAAGAATATTGTCCAGATCAAGGAAGGTAACAGTCCCACTGTACTCTGGTTGGTCAGACAACATCTGGAGTACTGTGTCCAGGGCTGGGTGCCACATTTTCAGAGGGACATTGACAAACAAGTGTGTCCTAAGGAGGGCGACCAGGATGGTGAGGGGTCTGAAAACCATATCATATAAGGAATATTTGAGGGACTTGGCCACACTTAGAGAATTCTTAAAGGGGACATGACTAATTGACTTTAAATATTTGAGGGCTCTTCGGAGAACTGGAAGGAGGACTGCTGTGGAGGGGGCAGGGAAGGCAGTTTTGCTTGTGTAAGGAAAGACTTCTCAGTGTTATTTGGAGATGGCATAGGCTGTGGCTAAGCAGGGAGCTTGCCTGGAACTGGGAGTGTGTGACAGGAAGCTGGCTGGGAGACGGGTAGGACGCTAGGCCAAATGACCTCTGAGAGCCCTTCCAAGAATGAGGTTTTATGGCTCTGTGACTAAAGGCAGGGAGGTAGAAATGACCTTGGCTGAGAAGAAGAGCCAAATAGGGGAGCAAACAGAGGGGGAAGCTGGTGCAAGGTGCATGTTGAGGGTAGTTGCTGCAGGAGCTTGGAAGCCAAAATGAGAACATTGGTTTTGAAGTGGTTGGCAACGTAGAGCTACTGAAAATTCCCCAGCAGGGTAAAGACCTTACAAAAGCCACATCTGAGAAAGAGATTTGGGTTGCTCTGGGATCGAAAGTGGTAGCAAGACAAGGGACCTGATGCAGAAAGAGGTCATAGTGTCTGGCCTCAGATGCAGTGGAGAGGCTGGAGAGGCAGGGGAGAGCTAAGGGCCTGGCCAGAAGATGGTGGGCCAGACCTGGTGATGGATTAAAAATGAAGCAGGAAAGAGGTGAGGGAATTGAGTGTGTGGGCCTTGGGTGGGTAACTGGTGGTGTCATCAATGGGTAGGGTGCCTGTAAAGGTGTATCTCATTTTAAGGGGTAGAGGGAGATCAAAACCAGAATCTTACCTTAGAAGTTCCTCTACACTGGCAGTTCCACCTGTCTGTCCCCATCCTGGGTCAGGGGGCTGCAGGCAAAGCACAGGGCTAGTGTGAGACTTCAGCAGGAATAGGGGAGAAAGGGACCCCCTCAGCTTACCCCGCAAGTCCCCTGCGCATGTGTTCCCACCCACTCAGATTTGTAAGACTCAAGATTGCCTAACCCTGCGAAGAAACCAGGAAAAAGCCTGGATACATAGGAAAGAGGGGAAGTCCCCCCCATTCTCTTCTGTACCTCCAATTCCTCCGTGCAAGTGGGAGAAGGTCCTCCCTCCCCAAATCTAGAGGGAAACTCGGTCACTAGCCATGTGTGATCCTAAGTCAGTCTCCCAGGGTCCCACCCCAAGGCCCACCTCACCTGCCCTCTGGCCACTCCATAGGAGAATCCACTGTCTGAGGTTCTCGAGGGCTCTGGGAACAGGAAAGCACGCTCACTGAGGACCTGGGAGAGGCTAAGGGGATGCTGGCCCCATCCCCAGGCAGGGCAGCCCCAGGAGTTGATGAGAGAGTTGCAAGAGTCTCCCCTCTTGCCTGCAGCTACCCAGAAGTGGGGATCAGCCAGAGGGCCAGAAGACAGCCATGAGGCCTCCCTGCTGATGAACCCCAGACACCCTTCTCCCCTCCCTCTGCAAGCTGTCTCCCGTGGGTCCTCATGCCCCACCAGGACTCTGCAGATCCCCAAAGGAATGTGCCTGCCTGATACACACACAGCATCACGCTCCTCCTTTTCTTCCCCTCTCATCTGGGTTTTCATCCTGCTGTTGTCCCAAGAATATTCTTTCCCACTTCCTTCTGCTACGGTCCCTTCCCTTCCTGCTGACCTTATAGCCAGCTGAGACTTCCCCATTCTTAAAGAACCCCACTTTCCAATGTCCCCATGCTCTGTGCTCTGTCAGCCTCCTCTCTCTCTCAGCATGTGAAGAACACAGGCTGCGCCTCCGCCCTGCCCCCAAGAGCTGACCTCCTCTCCCTCATCAGACTCTTCTTACCCGTCGCTTCCGCCTGTAGAACAGGAGGCCACCGACGGCCAGCAAGACCAGGATAATGCTGGGCACCAGCAGATGGAAGACAAACTCAGGGAGCTGGGGGTCGGAGCGTCCCACGTGTTGCCTCTCATGGCCTGTGTCAGTCAAAGGAACAGGGTTAAAACGGGTCTGGGGCCTGGCTGCCCCCTCACTTGCTTGTCCTCCTTCCAGCTCTGTGGGGCTCCTCCGATCCCTGGTGCTCCTCTTGCCCTCCAGCTCCCCAAGGGGCAGCACATTGCCCCCTGAATGGCTTCTGGGAAGCCTTGGCTGAGCAGAGAGGGTGGAGAAGCTGCTGAGGCCTTTTGGGCGCAGCGATGGAGTCCTGGCAGAACTTGGCTCCTGATGGTTTCTGGGCAGGGCCAATGGACTGTCCGGCTTCTCAGGTATGTGATTCCAGGCCTGGCCTGTGGGCTGGACAGGGCCCACACTGGGCAAGAGGGTGTCAGATATGTGTGCTGGCTCCTGGCCCTCTGTAGATCCGGCAAGTGGAGAAGATGCTGAGAGGAGGTTGCTGCGCCCAGCAGTCTCTGCCTGGATGCTGCTCCCTCCTGGCCTGGAGGGTGAAAGCTCAGCCTCTTGGGGTACCAGACCCTCACTAGCCTCTCCAGAGGCTTCTTCTAGGGCCCAGTCAGTGCCCAACACAGAGTCAAGAATGTCCTCCATCCCAGGGGTGGGGGCCCCGACAGAGGGGTGGGGCTGAGGTAAACTGGCAGTGGGGCTGCCTTCGACACCTGGGGTCTCCGGAGACTCAAAACTCTGGCAGGTGCTCCTGGATGGTCGCTGCTTGGCACTGCCCTGGTCCACTGCATGTAGGGGCTGCTCACTGGGCAAGAGGGAGTTGTCCTCTATCCCCTCAGAGTCAGCCCAGGTCAAGCCAGTCATAGGGGCCGCTGAGGGGGTGAGGGGCTGGTGAAGGGAGGCAGAGGCCAGGTCACTGCTAGAGGTGGCTTTGGGGTACAGGCAGTTGCAATCAGGCTTGGTCACCACATCTGAAAGAACCACAGAGAAAAAGAGAGAGAGAAAAACGGGGAGGAGATAGAGTCACCAGCCTCCAGCATAGCTTTCTCAGCGGGGGCCAAGATGAGGGCGTGGGTCTGGGGTTCCCCTCATCCCCTAACTCAGCCCTGGGGCTGAGGAGAGGACAAGATGGAGCGGATGCTCGTGATCCAGGCCTCAGGCAGGGGAGGTGAAGACCACAGGGTCTCATGGGCCAAGAGCAAAGAGGGGGCTTAGATGCACAGGTAGAGGGTAGGGGTCAGGGAAGACAACAGAGAACAGCCCACGGTAGAGTTCGAGCCAGCTGCCAAGCCAGGGTGAACAGCAGCCAGGCCTCGAGGTTGCGAAGTGGTCTCCAGGACTCACACGAGACACCCTCAAGCCAAATGACACCACATTGGTTGGAAAGCAGAGAGATGGTTTCATGCACAGCCAGGGACCACACAGCCACAGCCACAGGCAGGAACCGACTGGAGCTGGAATGTGGCCATGGCTTGAGGCCTTGGCATTGAAGCAATGAGACTGGACTTGGCCACTGGCGGGTGGCAGGACCTCAGCCCCTGCCTCAGGGAGCTGCAGGGGGACACGTGGCACAGGACGCAGAGACGAGGACACGCAGGGCACACATGTATGCAGCTGGGCCAGCACTGGGAGAGGGTGACTGATGCTCAGACTTCAAATCCAGCCTCGTCCCTTGAGGGGACACTCAAAGCATCCTGGGGACTTCTGGAGCCAGGGTATCCTGGTGATTTGCAGCAGGGCTCCTGGAGTGAGGGGTCTGACTCCCAGATGGGGCCTCTGCTCTCTCCACGGAACCCTCCATGCGTTCAGCCAGCCTGCAGCGCCCATGGGGAAAGCCTCCATGCCTACAAGGCTCTCAGAGAAGGGCCCCTTTCCACTCCCTGATCTCACAGCCACCAGTGTGATCCTTCTTGATGCCTTGGCATGCAGACATATGTGGGTGTGCATGCACACATATGCCAGAAGAAACGTGACCAGGAACGCCCAGAGGTGTGTGAAGCCACATATGTACACAAAACAAGCACGTCTACACACATAGGAGCACGAGTAGCAGCCTCCCTGGGGGTCCCTCCAGCCCCACATCTCACCTCCCGGTCCCTCCTCTGTCCCTTACATCCTCCCTCCACCATCCACTCGCTGGCCCCTTGGACTTACTTTGGCTGGAGCATTTAGCAAAGCTGGCATTGCAGTTCTTGCTGAAAACTTTCCAGTCATTTTTAAGGAGATTCTTTGTTTCGTTGAAGACATTCTTGATCTTCTCCAGCAACTGGAGGGGTGTCTCAGTGAAATTTCGCACACAGGCCTGGAAGGAGAGCAGGGAGTCCCTCTGGTGAGCATGACCATGGCCCCGTGTCCCTATCCTTTTTGTCAAACTCTCTTGGCCTTTCTCATATTTGTCTTCTTTTTCCCTTTGACTTCCTCCTTCCTCTCCTCACTGGTTTGCAACAGAATCAGTCCTCAGGTTGTGGGACATGTCATTTATTCATAGATCCGTTCAACACAAATTACGTGCGAGGCATATGGTAATTACCTGGGAACCCTGCAATGAACGAGAGTGGGGTGGTCCCTGGCGGAGTTGGACATTGAGTCCAGCAGGGGCATTTTCATTAAACACACTATTACAAGTGTGATGAGTCCTATGAAGAAGTACTAAGTGCTCTGAGAGTGTATAACGAGGGGGACTAAATGAGCCTGAGGGTTCAGGGAGAATTTCCCCAAAGAACTGATTCAAAGATGAGCAGGAGTTAATCAGGAAGGGAGTGTGAGGTGGGGTGTGGAGTTGTCCAGGCAGCGGCAACAGACTGTGCAAAGGTCCTGAGGCAGGATAGAGCCTGAAATGTTGAAGGACTAGAAGAAGGCTAGCATGGCTGCAGTGCCATCATCTAGGAGAAAAGTGGTGAGAGATGTAGCTGGAGAGAGGCCAGCAAGGGCCAGGTCCTTCTGGGCCCTGTTGGCCATTTCGAGAAAGTTTAACCTTATCCTTAGAGAAAAAAGAAAGAAAGAAAGGGAAAAAGACAAAGCAAAACATCTGAAGGGTTGCTAGGAGGGGGCAGTGGCATGGTAAGACTTGGGTTTTAGAAAGATCATCCTGCTGTTGTGTGGAGCGTGGGATGGAACAGGCCACAGGGGATGTGGGCCCTTCTCTGCCATTGGTTGATTGGTTGTGTCTTGGAGGGAGGGCTAAAGGTGCTCAGCCCTAAGTGGCCTCCTTCACTGTCTGTGGAGGCAGCTCTCTTCTGCTCGTGGGACCTGGGCCCCCCACATCCACCAGAACTCTGAGAAGCTTTCCATACTCCTGGTTTTCCTCCCACCTCTTGCGCTGCTCCGTCTCAGTCCCCTTACCAGACTCCCCCTTCTCAGCCTGACTTCTAGATGCTGGCATTCCTCAGGGCTCAGTCCTGGGCCTATCTCTCCTTTCACACTAGGCAATGCCAGACATGCCCACGGCTTCATCTATGGCCTGTTTGTCCACGACTCCCAAATACCAAGTTTTTCCTTCAACTGAGCCACAGAGGGAAGAGCTATGGGTTTTACTAAGCTGTGAAGTCCTGCAGCACATCACTGGATTCCCCCATGGCCTGTTCCCAAAACTGAAAAAAAATCAAACCAGCTGCCGTTGAGTCAATTCCAGCTCATGGTGACCCCATGTGTCTGAGATTAGAAATGTGTTACATAGGGTTTTCAATGGCTGATTTTTCGGAAGTAGATTGCCTGGCCTTTCTTCTGAGCGTGGTAGGCCCTTAATAAATGTTTACTAGATGAGTGATTGAGAAGCTCTGGGCTCCGCTCCAGCACTCACCAGCTATGTGACACTGGCCAAAAGAATTATTCAGTTTGGGCTCATTTTCTCATCCTTAAAGTCAAAACAATAATCCTTTCCAGCCTCTCCCACAAGGTTGTTGCAACAAAGAGGTAAGTAAGGTGGCTCGCTCTCTCTCGCTCCTCTCTTCATAAACCTCTGTCTCCCCCATACTTTCCTTCATACTTCATAGAGAAAACAGGAATCACCAGATGGAAGTCTCCTGTGCCCCTCTGTTGCAGCAGTGGGTGTGCCCTCTCTCTTCAGGGGCTCGGTTCTTTTCAGCTCCAAAGGGTCCCTCCTTCCTGGAGTCTGTCCCTCACCATCCAGTACGTGCCTAAGTGGGGTCCGAGGACCACTTATATCATGTCATGGGTGGGGCTACTTGTTAAAATGCATATTCCTGGGTCCCCCTTCAGACCCAGTGAGTCAGACTCTTTGGCGGAGTGGCCTGGGAATCTGCATGCTCCCCCCTGGGCTGGAACACTCTTAACAGCATATTGCTTTCTAACTCTTACCATCTTTGGATCTCAAATTAACACTTTCTTATTCAGAAGCCTGTCTCTTCTTCCCTACTCCCATCCCCATTCAAATTCGAGACCTCTGTTTCTCTCTCGCAGAATCCCGTGCAGCTCTTGTTCAAGGTTCACTATCTCACCTACTTCAGGTCTTCCCTTCTCTGCGACTAGCACCATCCTACATGCCACATATTTTACTTATATATTTTGTCAACTGTCTCACCCCACTAACACCACCCCACATGTAAGCTCCATGAATGTAAAGATTTTTGTCTGTATTGATGTTTTCCAGTGCTTAGAACAGTGCCTGGTATACAGTAGTCACTCAGTAGCTATTTGTTAAATAAATGAATACTCCTTATGCTTGTAATTACATCTATTTGTGTTATTGTTTGTTTAATGACTGCTAACCTCACTTGACTATAATCCCCACGAGGGCAGGAACCATGTGTTTCTTGCTCATGATGACATTGTCAAGGCCGAGCTCTGTGCCTCCTGAATAGTAGGTCCTCAGTAGAGGTTCGTGGGATGCAGGAATGAATGAGACAGTGAGTGAATGATGACATGAAGTGAGGTAAGTGAATGGACTCAGTGCTTGTGGGCACAATGCCAGTGAAGGCCAAGGCCAGTTGGCCAGGGGTCCTTGGGCAGTGGATGGTCCCACCACTACTTGTACTCTCCACAGCCACCCTCTGCCCTTACTCAGTGCTGCCAGTTCCAGAACCCTCCTACCGTGTCTGACTCTTCATGATCCTTGGTGAAGCAGCTCTTCAGCCTCAAAGAAAGTTCCTGAAGCTCCAGGATGGCATTGGCATTGGGGGTGTTGTCTTTGAAATGCAAGGTGTCCTCCATTATGTCTTGCACCAGGATAAATGCCTTCTTAAGGTAGCACACGGGATCATTCTGAAAAACGAGAATCCAGAGCTTATGGCCTGACTGGTGCAGCCTGGAGACCTAGGCTCTGTGCCAGATAACGCTATTCCAGGAAAACAGAGGGCTGCAACCTGGCCTACCCTACCCCTGGGGCAGGGGAACACCATCAAGTAATAAGGAAAATGCTGCACTCAACTGCTCTTTCATTCTCTCTCTTTGGGATCTGGCACTCCTGGGGTTAGGGGGTACAGGAAAGGAAGTGTGGATTCTGATCAGAGAGACCTTTGGATTTCTGGAGGTTGTGGCTTTAATCAGGATGGGGGCACATAGGGAGGGCCGGCTCTGGGGAAGCCCTCTCTTTTTCTCTCTTCTTCCCTCCCTCTCGACTTGGCTTCACAGAAGTCCTATACTATCTGACTCCTTCCAATCCTCCAGTGCATAGGGGTACTGGAGACCACCTCATGGTCCAAAGAATAACCTCAGTATTTCATTCATTCATTCAGTCATCACTCATGCCTTTAACAGTATTTACTAGAAACCTATTGGAACAAATACTAGGGATACAAAGCTAAAGTAGACAGAGTCTCTGTCTTTGAGGACACCACCATCTTTTCAAGGAGACAACCCAAACCACTAATAATGGTGAACCAAAGGGCTCAGTTCTAACAGAGGTGTGTATGGGCAGGTGTGTGGAAGCTCAGAGATGAAAGCAACCTCTTGGTATCATGGCAAAGGTTTTGTAAGAGACACAAAGATGAACAGACATGGAATAAGGGCTGAGGTGGTGGCAATTGGCAAGGCATTACAGGTGTCAGGAAGAGTTTGTAGAAAGATTTGGAGACAGGAAGGAGCAAGGAGTGGGGAGTGGTGGGCGGGCTGTGTGATGGAGACTGGAGGTCTTAATTGCCAGGCTAAGCAACCTAGACTTTCTCTTGGAGTGATGGGGGGGCCTTCCACACATTTTGGGCAAGGAAGTGAAAGCAATTGGCTGGGGTTTCAGAAAGCTCCCCCTAGTGGTGGTATGAGGGGTGCACTGGAAGCAGGGAGGCCAGTTAGGAGGTTCCAAGCAACTGGTCCGGAGGGGTAGCCCCCAAGCTGCTGGGGAGGCAGAAGCAGCAGCGCTTTGGCTGGTTGGGTTTGGGTGTGTGGTAGGAAGAAGAGAGAAAGGGCTGGACTGACTCCCTGGCTGCTGGCCTGTCTGGTGGATGGAGGTGACACCCTTAAGCCAAGCACATGACCTGGAAGTATCAGTTTGCCTTAGGCTCCAGAGCTAACCTTCCAGGGTTCATATTAGGCCTCCAACACTTAATAGCTATGCTCCCTTAATGTCTCTGAGGATAATAAACAATATCAGTGTACCAGATAGTGTTATTGGCAGAATTAAACTGGAAAAGTGCCTGGCACATAGTAAAATACTTGATATGTGCCATGACAGGAGAAGAGAGAAGCAGGGCACTTGAGCCCTGAACCCTGCCCAGCCCCAGACCCTGGCACCCCACACATGATCACCTCATGCCCCCAGCCTGCCCAGCTCTAGGATTTCTTCCATCTTCATGCATCCATATACACCCCACCTAGAAGGGGTCCATATACACCCCACCTATAGGCTGTCACACGGGACTTGTAAATAGCCATCACTCACCAGCTGGTCCTCGTCTACAAACTCAAAGACAATTTGGCACGAGGTCTGCATCTGGCTGTCAATCTGTAAGAGACAGCAGGCCAGTGGTGTCAGAGTGGCTGAGGCTTAACTTAGCCTGCCTCATAACAGGGACTGGAGTTTTTGGTCGGTCAGGATTCGAACATCTTCTACCTCCTCACAACCACACGTGGAAAGACAGAGCCAAGGCTAGAGGAGGGCTGTAGAAGAACAAGGAGTCTCTTCCTTCCACCTCCCACCCCATGAAATCTGACAGATGCCAGCTTGTTATAAGGAAGAACTATCTAACAGAACATAAAGAACAAAATCCCCCCCGGGAGGTAGGGAGCTCCCTGTCATGACAGGAATTCAAGCAGAGGATGATGGACGATGTCTGGAGATTCAGGATCTGCAGGATCTGGGGCTAGATGCCGTCAACGCCCCCGCTGGACCCCGGAGCAGTGGCTCTGTGATTCTAAGCCTCAGAGAATGCTGTAGCTCTTGAGTCTATCTTCCATGACTGTTGCAGGAAGGCTGGTATAGCGGCCAGAGGGGTAGGAGGCCCAGCCTGTAGGCCCCAAGCACAGGGCCCTGGAGGTGGCCTTAGCCAGTGGTACCCCACCCTGCCCGGCTGGCCAGAGGGATGGTAAATTCCTGTCTGAGCAGGATAGCAGCCATGACAGTAACCTGATTCTGCCTGGCTGGACCATGCCTGGAATGACTCTGTGGACCCAAGTAGAATGGGACACCGACTCCTTCATGGCCTGGATAAGCAAGCCATCCCAGCTCCGGGGCTCGGGCAAGAGCCAAGGAAGTGGGGGAGGAGGGCTGGGAGTTCAGTGGGAGCCTCCCCTCCAAATCTGGCAGAGGCCCTGGTGCCAGGCTGGTGGCATATCTAGGAGTCCAGGAGCTGGAGGCAAATCTAAGCACATCAGGCACTGTGCTGGCTCCCTGGAGGAGGCATCTCACTGAGGGACAGCAGGCCTCAGAAGCCGTTTCAGAGTCCATGGTTGATATTCCTGGGCAATCATTAACACAGGCAACCAGCTGAAAGCTCACCCCACCCACTGCCTGCAGGGAAGTTGGAGAGGGTCTCAGGGCTAGGGGGCCAGAGGCCCTTACATGGTGAGATGAGGGAGGGGAGCATCAGTGGAGCTGGCTGGGAGCCACAACCACGTTTGCACAGCCCTATTTCTCTGTCTGCAACCCCTCTCTTTGACCCTGCTCCCTGGCTCCTGCCTCAGTTTCCCCAGTGGGGAAAAGGTGAGGTAGGCATGGTAGAACACTCACCAGGTCTTGCAGGATCTTCAGGTGGCCATTCCCAATTATATGGCTACAGTGCTCTGGCACCTCCTCAGTAACACTCGTGCTCACCAGGAGACAGGCCAACAGCAGCCGGGGGCCCAGCCATGTCTGTGACAGAGACGGCATCATTTCTCCCCAGCTCTCACTACCCCCAGGAGCTCCCAGTTCCTGCTAAGGGCAGAAAAACAAAGACCTCATACCTACAATTCTATAGGCTCTGCCCCTCACTCCATGATGCAGTAGTCCCCAAATCCAGCTCTCCCGGGATTTCCAAACAGCCATGACACAACCTTGTTCTCCCTTGATAACAACTCAAATGTCACCTCCTCCAAGAAGCCTTCCTAGATCCACCCAGGCCGAGCCTGACTACACATTGAACTTCTAATGATAACATGGGTGGTATGCCTACCTGTCTAAATTCCTCATTGTACAGGAAAATTCTTGAAGGCAGGACTTGCATTTGCCCATTATCCTGTCCCTGCAACATCAAACACTGAGCCAAGAACCTTCTGAGCAGCCGCTCCTCTCAAGTTCACGTTCATGCACCAGTTTCCAGCCTGCAAGCCAGAGACTTTTTCCTGGGTCTAGGCCTTCTTCCTACCTGGTTCCACACAGGCCTGGCTCTGCCACTGGCAAAACCAGTGGGTCCAAACTCAGTATCATTGGGAACCCATTCCTTGCCAGAGACCTCTTGGAGCCCTGGGTGTGTGTTTCAAGGACCCCAACCAACTGATTACAGGTACCAATGCCAGCTCTGAGCCAGCCCTGGCTGGCACCTGCCTAGCAAAGCCCTATAAAGCTCTGCATCCAGCCAGCCCAGCTCTTATCATGGTGGGGACTTTTTTCTGAGATCTCTCCCTGCTTTCAGCACCCACCTGGCCCTGTCACTGCTCACTTCCAGAGTGATGGAACTAGCTCCTGACACCCTGTCATTCTTTCTTCCTTCGCCCCTCCTCACTGAGGTCCCCTCTGCCCTCTCCTGGCCTTAGGTCTCCCCTTGTCCAGCCAGAGGCAGAGACCCTTGAGCTTTCTTTCCCCAGCTCCAGGTTGCCTCCTGGGAGCTCCTGAGCATCTGTCAGCTGATGCCCCCAGATTCAGGGAAATGCTGGCAGGGTGGGGTGAGGGTTGGCACCTTCCTGGCCTCTGGGATCTGGGCTCAGTCCCAGTAATCCAGATGATGAGACAAATACTGCCAATAAATAGCACATTGGAAACACACAAAGAGGCTATGAAATAGCTCACAACAACATGCTGATTTACACATAACGAAAGGCTCAAACGCAAGCCAGCTCTTACCAGGGAGGAGATGGAGCTCTGGCCGGGCTACCAGTGAGACTGCAGGAAGAAGGGGCCTCAGTGAGGCCTTGAAGGATGGAGAGAAGTTGGAGGTAGAGAGAAAGAGGGAGAGGTCTAGAGGGAGGAGGCTCAATGCCATTCAGTACAGGGACCATACAGGTCCTGGCCTGAGGAAAGGAGAATGTGGAAGAGGGAGAGGGCAGTCATGAGGGGGACTTGAGGTTCTGTTGGGCAGTTGGGGAGGTAGCGCTGGATGAGAATGGCTGCCCAGGAACCTCCGGTTCAGCACCCGTTGGAGGAAACTGGCCTATGCAGGTGTCAGACTGCTCCAGACTGGCTGCCACTGAGGCTCTGAGACCCTGGTGTAAATGGTATGGAGGAAAGGGCCCTGGGGAAGGGGATGCTCAGGCAGACAGTCCTGCCACAGGCACGTCAAGATACTGGTGCTTGAGGACAGCAAGGTGAGGGCAATGCTTAGCCCCGAGGGCTGCCTGATTTTGGGGATTTTTCAGGCTTCAGTTTGGGGAGCACACAGCCGCCACATGGGAGGCTGACTTTGAAGGTGGCCAAAGGGGGCCACCCCTGGACCTAGGACCCTAGTTCTGCCTCAGAGGAGGATCTGTATGGACACCCAAGGGTAAATGCTGTGACTTGCATCTGGCTGGGCTGACTCTCCTCCCTCCTCCCTTCTTCCTCCTACCCACCAGCCTCTGCCTCTGTGGAGCAGCCTCAGAAAGTATCCTTCCTGCAGATTCAGAGAGATACTGAGACATCTCCACCCTCACCTGCCTCCCAACCTGGTCCATCATCTCCATCCACAGGTCTCTGGAGAGACCCTGGCATGACTGGACCCTTGGACTGTCCCTGCCAAAACCAGCCCCCTTTTCTTTCCTCCTGAGGCATCAGCTCAGCTCTCTTCATGGTCTTACCCTCCAGCCCCTTTCCTTGTCTCTTGCCCATCACTTCACCCTTCTCCCTTTCTCCTGTCAGCCTCATCTCCTCTCTCTCAGTTGGGCTCTTCCTCCCCTGTGGTTCTGTTCTTCCCTCTCCCTCTCCCTCTCCCTCCACCTGCAATCCCTTCCCCCATTCCCACACATTGTTTCTGCTCCTTGTCCCCCCAGATTCCTCCTCCCATCTCCAGGGTTCCTTAGAAGGAAACCTGCTGGAAGACCATTTACAGTACTGTTCATTAACAGTGTCACATGCAGCTTCTGGGAGCTGCAGCAGCCACTGTCCACGGCTGAGTCCCAGCATCCCCCATGTAGTCCTGAGCTGCCCCTACCCTGCCCAAAACTCTGCAGCACCAAACCCTCTTTCCACATTCCTCAACCACCACCAAGCTCTGGATGTCCTCATCTGACCAAGGCTAGATTTTGTAAGAAAAAATTTCAGAGCTAGCACCTCCAAAGCCAGGAGTCAAGTCAGCTCTGAGGCCTGGTCCCCCCAAGACAGGCTTGACCCAGCCACCCGAGTCCCATCAGCTGCCGGTGGGTTGTAACAAGTAGTAGCTTGCCTGCCTCCTTCCTTCACTCTACCACCAGTTTGCTTGGCAGAGGCCCTGGCATTGTATAAGCCTGACGATCCCTGAACTTTCCCCACTCAGAAGCGCCCACTCCCCTGGCGGGTCTGGAAGCATGTGCGTGGCTGATGAAGAAGGTGCCCAGTGGTGAAGGCGCCAGACCCACACTCGGAGCACGGCCACTCCTCCTGTCCCTTGACGGTGGCCAGTCAAAACGTCAGAGAAGACGGTAGAGGCAGGGTCGCTCTGGCTGACACCAAGCCTCCGCCCGTGCCTGCGAACCCGTCTTTGCTGCCTGTGCGTGGCTCAGCGTTCCTCTCCGTGCAATGGGGTGAGCAGCCTTTCCCTTGCCATGGAAGCGCGACAGCCCCAGCAGCAGCTGCAGAGCCATTCTCAGGGGTAGCTCCGCGCAGAGGCGGGAAGGAAACCGCAGCCCTCCGCCGCGGCGGGAAAGCCTCGGTTGCCGGGGCGCCCAGAGGGTCCGCTGAGAGAAGCCGTGCCGCCCTCCCGCCTCGCGCCCGGGCCCGCGCCGCAGCGGCTGCTTACCTTGGAAGGGCAGCGCCCGGCGGCGCCTCGCGCGGTCATGCGGGCAGCTGAGTCCTGGCCGGGCGCGTCGGCCGCCCTTGGTCACTCGCTGCTGCTTGAGTCTGCGCCCGGGCCGAGGGGCTGCGCCGCGCCGCTGTGCCGGGGTGCTGAGAGACCGGCGGCGACGCGGAGAGAACCGACGCAAACTTTCACTTTCCCCAGCCGAGCTTCACTGGCCAGCTCCTCGGCACAGCCTTTTAAGCGGGCTGGGCATGTGGTTTATGGGAAATCACCCTGGACATGCGCCAGGCGCGCGCGCGCGCGCACACACACACACACACACACACACGCACACTGACACAGACACACACACACTCTGGAGGCTCACTGAGCTGCCTCCCCATCTCCTCCCCTCCCCCCATCTCTCCGTCTGGTCTTCCCGGTTTGTCTTTCCAGTTGCCCACTGTTTTTTTCACGAAAAGAACGCGGGCTCGACCGCCTCCCCGCCCTTCTCCTGCGCGCCTGGCCTCGGATAAGAGCCTTTCCTTCTGTGCTCTCCAGGCAGATCCGGTGCCATCACCCTCTTTCTAATATTTGTCCCAAGGGACTTTCCCTGTAGGCCTGAAAATTCCCAGATCAGAGCAGGAAATGAAGAGAGCAGGGACAGGCACTGGGAGAGAAGGGCAGGCACTGGGGCCTCTCCCTTTTGCGCGTTGTAGCCCCTCGGAGGAGCCTGAGTCAGCAGATTTGCAAGCAGCCCTTCCCATCCTGTGCAGCCCGAAGCAGCCCGCCAGCGTCTTGTCTCGCGCATCGTGATGGAAGGGGACAGACAGGATGGCCAGCCACCTAGCCAGGAGGAGAAGGAATGTGCTCTGTGACGGGGAGCTGGGAGGCTCTGCTGTCTGTGCTGGGAGACACTCGCGGCACTTAACGCGGCTGAAGTAAATGCTGGCTGGGACCCGTGCTCCCTCCTGGCAGGGCAGGATTGCAAGCCAAGCACCTGGGCTCTACCTTTCCTTTGATGCTTTTGAAAATGCATTTACAGAGATGGTTAATCACATTTTATGTCTCTACATGAGAATGAATCTAAATGAAGCTGAATAAGATGAATCTATTAATTATCATGCCAACTTCAGGAGCTTTTCCTGTCTTCAATTCATTGTGATTCAAAGTGTTTCAATCCTTCTGTGAGGTTGTCCACCCCCATCCCCTGGGTGGGTGGACGGGGTGGGGGGGGGATATATATATGTAAAACCAAACCAAACCCGTTGCTGTGGAGACAATTCCATCTCATAGCAACCCTATAGGACAGAGTAGAACTGCTCCATAGGGTTTCCAAGGAGTGACTGGTGGATTCGAACTGCCAGCCTTTTGGTTAGCAGCCTGAGCTCTTAACCACTGCGCCACCAGGGCTCCATATATGTATATATAGCATGTCTTGTCACTTTCCCCACATACCTCTTGCTCCAACCCCCAAAAGTAACTTTACAGCCCATGCCTTTGTTCATACTGCTCTGGTCCCTCTGCCTGGAATGGTCCTTTCCTTTCCTCATTTGGCCTTAGGGCAAACTCCTCCTTCAAGGCTGGAATTGCACTTCATCGTCTACCAGTGAAGCCTTCCACAACTCCCTGGGTAGATCAATGGTTCCTTTTCCTGTATTTCCATTGAACTTACTTTAGTCCTCCATAGTAGACTAATCAGTTGTTTGTCATTCATTCATTCTTCACATTATTTTAAAAAGTATTTAAGGTGGTTCTGATTAAGGTAGCATTTTAAGGATTAAGGTGATGGCTATATTCTGCCACCACCCTGGACTGAAACTTCCTCTAGGGTGGCATCTGTGTTCACTTATCTCTGAATCAACGGTGCCTAGTGTGTAACAGATACCCAGTTAATGATTGAATAGAATGAGTCCATTAGAGAATAACTCATTCATTGAACAAACGTGCACCAAGTGCCTACTATGTGCCAGGCACTGTGCTGGACACTGAGGATACAATGGTGAACACGCAGATGTGGTCCCTGTTTTCATGGGCTTGTGGAGCAGGCAGAAGCTAAGGCGTGTGCAGGCAGCAACTGAGTGCTTACAGCCTTCAGGAAGGAAGTCCAGAGAAAGAAACCCAGCCCGAGGAAGCAGGTTGAGTGCTTTCTTTCTCCAAGAATGTTCTCTCAAGAGGCCCGTGTACGGTAATGCTTTAAGATAGCATGTTGACACAGACACCACAGTTCTTAAGATTGATAAGATGTTATAGGAAATAATGTGAGAAAGATGAACCTCTAGACTTCTTGAGAAAGGAGTAAAATGTTTCCTGCTCCCTCCTTCATCAACCCAATCCTGCTCCAGGTTCACACTTAGAATCTAGCTCTGCCTGTGGAAGAGAACAGCCATTACGTGTCAGCTCAAGTCTTAGGTCTTCATTCTTCCTCAAGTGAAATTCTTTATATACTTATATTCGAACTCTGACTCCACCACATACAAGCTCATTGACCTTGACAGCTCTGTCCAGTCATTTGCTATGTGGCTTTGGACAAACCTCGCTCAGCCTCAGTGTTCTCATCTGTAAAATGGAGACATTCATTTATCTTTTTCACAAAGGTGTTATATGGATTGAATGAGATAATGCCTATGAAGTGTTTAGCACAGTGCCTGATGGTAGTCAGTGTTATTATTATCTGTTCATTTGCATGGGTCTTCAGGAATGATGCCACAGTGGTACAGTGAACTGGGGAGTCCCAGTGCCAGATTTTAGTTCCAGCTCTGTCACTCACTTGCTCTGTGACTTTGGACAAACCCCTTAATCCTTCTGAGCTTCCCTTTCCTCATCTGTACAATGATAAGACCTCCTTCAAGGAATGGTTGTGGCATACAGAAAGTCTTCAGGGCGATGCCCAGTATAGAATAGGTGCTGAGTTATGAAAGAGTTCATTGGAATCTTAGGCTGTGGGATGCTGGGAGGCAGAGCTAGACCATGGGGAGAGGTGTGAGGGCTTTAATAGTGGCAGCTCTACAATGGGACTGCAGTTCTCATATCTGTTACCTTAAAAGGAGAGGTTGTGAATATGCTTGACCTCAGACCAGCTTTGCCACCAGACACAGGGAAGTTGAGGCTAAAAGAACTTATGATGTGCCTGATGTGGCGCCCCTCAGCAGCATCTCCTGAGCTTGCTCCTGCACTGGGTCTGATACTCTTACCCCCTGCCTCTGTCTGTCTGGGTAGGAGACCTTGGGCAGGCAGTTCTTGGCTGGATCTCAGGGCCAAGCCAACAGGATGGTGTCCATCTCCATGTGGTTCCTTAGATGCTCACACTTATGCAAGACTGTGTGTGTGCCTCCGTGGGCAAGGAGTGCTGGAATCACAGAACTAGAAACTTTTCTACCCACATTACCTTTGATGAGGAAATGGAGGCCCAGATAGGCTAAGCCCTACTTCCTCCAAAGTCATCCATGAATTGGCAGAGTCTGGGGTGGAGGCCTCAGGAGTGGGGCCTGAAGTGAAAAGACTCTGGGCTTCCCATCTTCACCCTGTTCAGATGAGCCACTGTCCTCCTGCTGACTACTGGTGGAGTCATGTCCGGAGCCGGGTCCTGGGGGAGGCAGAGAGGAATGTGGAACAATCCTTGATTTGAGGTTTCAATGATTTCCTAATGTAGCATCATCAAGAAGACAGTGCTCAGCTGACCACGGAGGAGGGCAGAAGGGAGTATAGGAGGGACCCTGCTTGCCAGAGGAATGAACCAAGGGTGGGAGGAGAGAGACTGAAAAGAGAAATAGAGATAGATGGCAGGAAGTGGGAGGAAAGCCTCATTTGCTGGTTGTTGAAATGTCATTTCCTTGAAATTATTTGACAGGCAATTTCCCCGTGAGATCTTTTCTAGGGAATTGACTTCTACCACAAAGGGCTTTCTGGCTTGCTTTCTCTTTCTAAATCGCTCTCTCCCTGTTATGGGTTGACCCAAAATATGTACTGTAAATCCTAACCCCTATGCCTGTGGATTGGAGCCCTGGCGGCTCAGTGGTTAAGAGTTACAGATGCTAACCAAAAGGCTGGCAGCTCGAATCCACCAGCCACTCCTTGGAAACCCTATTGGGGCAGTTCTACTCTGTCCTACAGGGTCGCTGTGAGTCGGAATCGACTCGACAGCAATGGGTTTGGTATACCTGTGGATATAATCCTGTTTGGGAATAAAATTTTCTGTTATGTTAATGAGGTCATATCAGTTTAGGGTGTGTTTAAAGCCAATCACTTCTGAGATATAAAAGAGCAGATTAGGCACAGAAGCAAGCAAGCACAAAAGGGGGAAAGATAGATGCCACGTAGAGATCTCCAAGGAATGCTGAGAAGTTAAGACAAGGACTTTCCCCCAGAGCAGACAAAGAGAGCCTTCCCCTAGAGCTGGTGCCCTGAATTCAGACTTCTAACCTCCTCAACTGGGAGAAAATAAATTTCTGTTTGTTAAAGCCACCAATTTGTGATACTTCTGTTATAGCAGCACTAGATAACTAAGACACTCTGGTTCTTTCTACCACTAAAGTGGCCCAGTGGCAGAAGTCAGAAGCCTTGGAAGCTGGGTGCTGTGAAGGGAATGCTGCTCTCCTGCCTCAGTGCTCCCAGCAGGGAGCTGCAGAGAGGACCAGAGTGTGCTGACACTCCTGACTAACCTGGGTAGAGAAGGGGAGTCAGAGCCTGGATGTCTCATTCCCTACCCTGCCCCACCTAGGTCTCTTGCCCTTTTAGTCATGTCTTCCCGCTTTCACAGGGTACGGGGGCAAGAAGAGTGGTAAAGCAGCTGTAATGGAGGGATCCTTGAAGTGAGAAGACCCAAGTTACCCTATCAGTTAAATGCAATGGTAGTTACCTAGTGCTGCTGTAACAGAAATATCACAAGTGGGTGGCTTTGACGAACAGAAATTTATTTTCTCACAGTTTTGGAGTCGAGAAGCCCAAATTCAGGGCACCAGCTCCAGGGGAAGGCTTTCTCCCTCTGTCAGCTCTAAAGGAAGGTCCTTGTCTGAGCTCCTGTAACCCGAGGATTTCTCGGTTCATTGGCGATCTCTACAAGGCATCTCTCTTTCCCCCACTTGTGCTTGCTTGTCTCTGTGTCTAATCTGCTCTTTTTATATCTCAAAAATCATTAGGTTTAAAACACACCCTACACTGATATGGCCTAATTAACATACCAAAGAAAACCCTATTTCCAATAGATGGAATTACGTCTACAGG